TTGTACCACAAGGCTCTGCAATGTGTCCTTCCAATGTTCCATTTCTAATACTGGATGTACAGTATGGAGACTGTGTCACAGCATGGAACACTTGATTCATGTGGCCTTAACTCACCAGGGTGGATTGCAGCACGGTGTGGCCTGGAGGCCTCAGTGCACACATCTTCTGTGTACTGAAGCACAGAATATTACTGTCTTGCCTGCTTCTTGCCTATTACCCATATTCACAATAGTTTGGAGAGGTCTGTCCCTCTACTGAGACAAGAGTTAGGTCTTCTCCAGCTTTGGATATTGTCCTTGTCAGCAGACTAACTCTGTTTCAAGCTGCAAAGAGCAGATATTTTGCTTTTGGTCTCTGGAGTATTTGCAATGGTAGATATCACTTGTGCTTTCAAACTAACAAAACTTTGTGAAGACGTTTTCTGATATTGCCAGAAAGAATAATGATCATAGCACAAAGTAAATGCTGTATTTAACTGTAAAATAATGAATTGAGGCTGAGAAGTCCAGCTCTTGTATCTTTCAGATGAGCATTTTTCAGTAGCTGCTGAGATATTTCCTTGAGATGATCTTATCAGAAAAGCAGTCTGTGAAGAGAACTTGAATGCTGATGGATCTGTTTTGTGCCTTCCTGCTCATCAGGCTGAGGATGAGACCTGGCAGTGCTTTCCAGCTGTGCTCTTCTGAAGTCTTGGCTGATGGGTCTGCATTCCCTCTGCCCATCCAGGAAAGGAAGTCAGCTTGTGTACCTGTCTGATTACTTTTCTGACTAGGAATGTGTGAAAGAAATTGCCTTATGTTATTTTGGGGTGACCTGAAGGTAGGATGCTAATTTCTGATTCAAGATGATTTTCTGTGTGCCCAGAAAGCATCCTTTTACTTAATTAGCCTTGTCAGCAGTGACTCTTCAAGCTATTTCTTGACATCAAACAATCATGTCACAGCCCCTCAGTCAAATTATGCAGACAGATGAACTGATTCAGTCATCTTTATCAGATACTGTTTTACATTAATTGTATTTATAACTTTTATATCTAAATGAAAATAAACTAATTTATATATGGAAAAGTCTTTAATTCTAAATGATTGTTTTTATTTTGCTGTTACTTGTGGGTGTACTTTGTTCCTTCTCTGTGACTTATTACCTCAGTTTCTTTCAATTTCTTGAATATCATTATTTTCTTCTTACTCTTTTCCTTTGTAATTCTCAGTTCCCATTCTTTGTGGTGTTGGATATTTTTCCCATACACTTGGAAATCTGGGAATAAATGTAAGGGTAGTCTCTCTAATACTTTTACCCCCTCCCTCCCCCAATATTATCAGGTATTGCTGTAGTTCTTGGTTTCTATTTGATTGTTTAAGCTAGTTCAATTTCTCTGCCCCATGTTTCTAATGTTTTTCCCAGCATCCAGCTAGGGCATTTGAGATGGTCCTTACTGCATTTTCCCACCTTCCATCTGAACCCATTCAACTGTTGAAGCACATAAGTTAATGTTTTCTGAATCAGGTACTGAAGTCATACAAGGATAGGAAGAACCTCAAGTTGAAGTGGTTATATTTTCCTATTTCCACTGAGAGCTGTATGAACCTCAATAAGAGGAGACATGATGGATCTGGTAATCAGAAACTGGCACAGCTCTCAACATGCAAGCCCTATTCTTCAAGCACCTCTATTTTTTCCACTATTTCCATCTGAGCCAAATTAGTCTTAGAGAGAAAATTAAGTGGGAAACATGAGTATGCACTTGTTCTTAACACACTAATATTAGCTGAATACGTGCAAATGTAGCATGTTAGAAATCCCAGCAAAATCTTAAAGAAGCATATTAAATGGTTAAACTGGAGTCCTAAAGGCAAGCCTAGCAGATGGAAATGGCTCTTAGGCTGTTATAGGCTCTTGGACTTACAAACATAAAAGATAGTGAATTATTTCTTGTGCTTTTAGGGCTGTCTCACTCTCATTGAAGTTTTGCTGCTGAAATTGGTAGCAGTAGGACAGGAGGTTTTGCTGCTGTTAGTATAATTGTTACACCTATACTAATAATTAATTAATGTGCTCCTCTACTTGCTGGGATTAACAGCTCTGTAAATCTCTTGGATGACATTGAATTAGGTTTCCTGTTCCTGATACAGAAGACAAGCAAAACCCTTCCCTGTGATTTACAAGTTGAGTTAAGAGTTTGTGTATAGTCCTGTGAAACAGAGACATGGACAGATTCCTTCTTTTGCAGAGTCAGGAATCTCATCTTTGCCACAGGATCAAACTGTTGTACCTAACTGCAGTTTGGAACTAAGTAATCCTAGGGCCAAGAGATTTGGCCCAGCATACAGTTATGAAAAAGAGTAGAAAAGCAACACTGGTGTGTAAGGGCTCCCTTACTAACAGGGAAAACAACCAGCTCCCACTGTGAGGTGGCAATGACTGAAACCCCTGCCAGGAAAGAAGGCAGAGATCCTGTACCAGTGTTAACTCTTGTATCTTTTGAACTGTACACTCTATAGTTTCTGGTTTCTCATTGCATCCCTCAAGGTGTTCTATATAGAATTATTATTTCCTCCCTGGAAGCTGGAGGTCACTTCTTCTGTTTCAAAATGGGAGAAAGATCCAGAAGCAAACTAACTTCACCAACATGCTTTAAGGTAAAGGCTATGGTAACCATAACTTACGGTAATTTAACATTCAATTTAGAACGTTCAATTTAATGTTCAATTTAGAATGTTCAATTTAATGTTCAATATATGCATTCATAAATGGGTGAATATATTCCAGAGGCTGGAATTTTTGATCATTTAATTTGATTCAATTAACATCTCCATACAAGGCAACCCATTGCACTACCCACAACAAAACAGCTGAAAATTTTGGTGAAAACAAAGGATTTTTTTTAAAGCTTAATTGAATTGGGCCCTTTATTGTAGGAAAAGTAATAGTAATTTACTATGGGAGGAAAAAAAGGGTTTTGTTTTAAAAACTGCATAAGATAATCATGCTGATAGAGTAAAAATAGGGTTGGGGAATTAATCTGATAAGTTTGCCCAACTCTCTCAGCTTTCTGTTATAATCAGAATCGTTTAGCTCTGCATTATGTTCAGTAAAAAAACCCAAACAACCCACCACTAAAAAAACCTGTATTCTCCTGAGTGAATTTCCATCTGCAACTGACTGAAGTCCTGCAAACAATTTGTGTGATGATTCACAGGAAGGAATATGTTTCAATTCCTTCTCTTTGAGCTGTGTTGGTTTGGCAAGGAAATAGGAGCAAAACAATGTTAGTCACAATTATGAGACCTGGCCTAGAATTCCCACTGAATATATAAGATGAGAAGTGAATTACCTTTCATATTCATAGTGGTTTTTTTTTTAAAACCGCTTAATAGAAAATACATTATAGCTTTTTAAATATGTCTTAATAGAAACACTGACTAAAGTGCTTTATATAAAAAACAACAAAACACACACCCTGAAAATCGTTTCGCTGAATGTTGTGACATAATCTTATTTATATTGTATATACTCTTCATTTCTACAGTTGTATCAGAAAAATCTTATTTTTATGAAATTGATGGGTTTTGCCATCTTGTTTCTGGGGCCTTAGGACACATTTTGGACCTGTTTCCAGGTCTCTGCAATTTGAAAGAGGTGGGAACTTCTTTAGCTTTGAGTTTGAGAAACTCAGTTTCTTTGAAGTTTGGAAGAAAGCCAACCAGGTTATAACTCTTCACAGGTAGTTCCAGTCACCTGTGGCAAAATCACTTGCCGGAGCCGTGGAAAAGTTTGGTTTGCTGATGCAGCTGCATTCCCCGCACTGCTGCTAGGACGTAGCTACATTTCCTAAACTTGCTGGTTTCCTCTGCTTTTGTTTTGGGGCTGTGGCTTTTCAACCCTCGTGCGATCCTCAGTCTCATATCGGCATTTTCTAGCGCAGCATTGCTGTATGAACAGGTAGGAAAGGAGCAGTTCCGACCTGAGACTGAGAAAAGCCACGGGGAGATACCGCTTTGCGGGTGGGTGGGCGAGTACTTTGTCGGGCTGGGGCTGCTTGTTCCGCAGCGGCTCCGCGGTGCTGGCTGGGAATCACGGCCGCTCTCTGAGGGGCTCCGCAGCCGCCGGGCCGCGCCTGGCGCGCAGGGGGGAGCCCGGGAGCCGCGTCCCTGCCCGGGCAGCGCGGGGCTGTCCCCGGGGCCGGAGCGCCCTCAAGGGGCTTGGCCCATGGCCCCAGGGAAAGCACCAGGCAAGCGGCGGCGTTCCCGAGGCTCCGAGGCCGGCCCGTCCGGGCCGCGCACTCCAAGTTCTCCCGGGCCGGGCGCCGTGCCTGCTCTCGATTCCTGGAGGCGGCGGCGGCGTCCCGCCCGCTCCCGGCGCTGCCGAGCCGCCCCCTTCCCCCGCTCCCGGCCGCCCGCCCGGAGTTTCCTTCCCCCGCCCCCGCGGGCCCCTCTTCCGGCCATTGCCCGCGTTCCCTCCGCCCCGGTCACACACGGCCCCCGGCCGAGGAGCGCCCGGCCCCGCCGGGTTTTGTTCCCAACTCCGCCTCGGCCCTTCTCCCGCTGCCCCCCGCCCCCCGCCAGTCCCCTCCCAGCCCCGTCCCAGCCCCTGCCTTAGCCGGCAGTCCCTCCCTCCCTCGGCCGCCTTCATTTCATACCAACTCTCATTCCTCGCATTCCTCACTTCCTCCTTTCAAACTCCAGGGGAAATAAAAACCCTCCCTTTTCCTCCCAAACTCCTGCCCGGCCGCCCCCCCGCCCGCCGCCGCCCGGGCTCGCCGTCCCGCCGGCCGCGCCGCGCTCCTCAGGTGAGTGTGCGCTTTGTGCCTCCGCTCCCGCCGGCCCGGCTGCCCCCCCGCTCCCATCCCATTCCATCCCATCCCCTCCCGGCCACCCGCCCGGCCCGGCATTGTTCGCCTCTCCCCGCCGCCGCGGGACCGGCGAGGGGGAGCCCCGCGGGCCCACCCCGGAGCCGCTCCTCGCCAACTTTTTTTCTGCGCGCCTTGGTGGCGGCGGCGATGCCGAGCGGGAGGGTGACCCGCCCGCTCCCCCGTCCCAGCCCCCGCTCCCACCCCTGCGGGCTCGGAGGTGGGGAGCGGGCGGGAGCGAGGGGCAGGCGCGCACTAACAGCGCTCGGCGCTCTCTCGGCAGAAAGTCCTGGAGCTGAAGGAGGATTTGAAGCCGGTCCCCGCTGGCCCTGCGGAGCAGCAGCCGCTCTTGCCTCGCTCAGGTCGGGACACGCCGTTCCACGATGGCTTTGGGCTGGAAGGGAGGGTGCGGAGCCGCTCGTGTGCGACAGGCGAGGCACAGGCGTACAAAGGAAGCGATGGGAACATCCTCAATGGAGCCTCGCGGCTTCCCCCGCCGGGAAGGGGCTGCCGGCGCTGCCACTTCGGGAACTCGGTCGCTGGAAACTGCAACGCTGATGGGAAGGGGGGAAGAAATAGCGGTTTCTGTATGGTTCGTAGAAATGCGCTTGGGGAGGGTGGAAAGGAGGAGCAGTACTTAATGTAGTAAATTTTAATGTAAATTACGGACGATGATTTCGGGGGGGAAAATAGAACAAAAAAAATCATAATGAAGCTTTCTGTGTGAAGTACGTAGGTTGTTGTAGGGCATTTACCAAAAGATGGGGGGATGTTTTTCCAGTTCATTTATTCTGAAGTTAGAGTTGAGTTTTGGTGGCATGCCACAGGAAAGGATTAAAGAAACCCCAAACAAACCGAGCGCACACAAAAAACCCCAAACAAAAACCTTTCCGGAGTAATCTTTTATCTTGTGCAGATAATTCCGTTTATACAGTTTCTTGCATGAGATGCTAAAGATGGAGCTTTTTTTGCAGAAGAGGGAAGAAGTGTAACTCTACATGTTTTACGGACTTCTGTTAAGTATTTTATAATGAACGATCACATATGTTAAATAAAAACTCTAACAAAAACAAAGAAAAACTCAGAACTAACCACAAGTAATTACAACTTGGTTTTTGTTTAACCTGGAGTTACACTCATGTTACTTTCTAACCTTAAGAGTTGGGTTCTGCGACTCCTCTACAAATAAGCGATGCAAAATACTTGTGAAGCGCAGGGGGCTGAACAGGAGGAAAGGAGATTTAGGGATTGGATTTATTTTTCACTTTTCCTGTTGCTGGGGACAGGTCGGCTTTGCCAGGACCTGATGGCGGCGTCTGTGTGCAGGGTGAGCAGAGCATTGGCTCACCTGTCTGTCCATCTGTCTGGGTGGATGTGAGAGGTTTTATTGTTCTCCCGCAGAAGGAAGTGGGCAGCAGGACGGGGCAGAGAGTAACGGGGAGGAGCGAGAGGAGCAGAACGAGGGGAGAGCGCGGTGGGGACGCAGCAAGTGCTGGGGCTGGGCTGATGCTGCTCTACACTCAGCTGTGCAATTAAAGCCTTTTGGTTTCGATAGCTTGTTCTCATGACAGAGAAGAGCCTGGGACCGTCCTGTAGTGAATACAGAGGGATTTATTTATTAGGGCTGCTGGATGCTAAGGGACTCTGGTTTTCTCTGGAATTCGGGTTGGCAGAGTGAAGGACAGCCAATCACCTTTTCAGGTTGTTTTGCAGTGGGTGCAGTCACCTTTTCAGGTTTTCCTAAATCCCAGTGGGAATGGCTCCCTCAAACTTGAGCATTCAACCGTCTTATCAATCTCTAAACCGGGCTATCAGCTCATTGTTTGTGTCCTCTCGGAGGTGGATCCTGTAAGCAAATAAACGTTCGTGAGAATGGTTACTAGGAATTTCTCCGCTGTCTTGGATCCTGCCACTATTTTTGATTTTTAAATTAATGCTACCGATGGTTTTGGAGTATTTTAGGCTATTATTGTGATAAGCATTTCAGTGTTGCTGTATTGAAGAACATCTGTGGGAAAACGGTATGAAAATAGTTCTGCCAAGCTTTAAAGAGAAAAAAAGTCTTTGTGTCACAGTATCTTGTCTGTGGCTTACATGAAATCACAGTTGCTGTTGGTTTTCTTACTCAGGTACTAGTTTCACAGAATTCAAGCAGAGTAAGTAGAGTTTTGAGAGGGTTGCTGAAAAGTACTGTTTCCAAGAGTTACAGCTTTCAACTCTGTTTGCATGCTCATTCACAGCTTTCCTTCCTTGGTATTACATGTCCTTTTCTGTATCTTTCAGCTCTTGGTTCCATCCCAGTGGAAGCCAAGGGGTGGATCCACAAAGGTTTCTGCTGTGGATCTGTCCCCAGAGCCTCAAAGTGCCCATTTCCTTACTTGTCACATCTCTGTGCTTTGTCACTGGCAGGGACATCGGCACTGCTGTTCACTGCCCCGGGACTGATCCAGAGGAAAAGTAATGCTCTTAACAAGTTTTATCACTTTTACAAGTTGGTTTTCAGCCCCATCTGTCCGTTCTCCAGTCAAGTTAATGATATGGTCGTGTGTCTGGAGAAGGGGGTGCTGTGACTCGGAGGGGAAGGGTGGGAGAAGAATGGGGACATTTTCTTAACAACATTGCCATTTTTCCCTACCATAAGTAGTTCTTTGGACCATGTTTGCAGTAGCTCCTGTGAGAGCAATACAGTTTTCTGTTTTATCTGACCATGACTTATCTTAAAAATGTAAAATTTAGTATTATGTCTTTTTAAAGATCTCTTATACTTTGTCCATAGCTCATGTTTGTCTTTTGTTCATTTGTTAGATTTGGGGTTTAGTTTGGTTCTTCCCTCCCTCTCCCCCATGGCATGTAAAAGTTTTCTGGGGCAAGTTTTTTATCACCCCGTGTACATCAGAAAAGTTTTCTTACTCTACTGCAGCAGTTTTTGCCTTGGTGTGTATTTCTCTGAAATGATTGGTTATTATTTCTCTCTGCATTTACATCTCCTAAGTTCTTAAAAGCTACTAATGAGGGTATAATAATAATATTTTTACATTTTCTAGGTCTAATTATCGGGGGTGTTTTATACTCTACACTTTCTTCAGTTTATCTGTGTTTCTTTGTCAGAATGAGATCCAATATTCCACGAGTTGGAGTGATTCATCTCTTTTCCTTGCCTGAAGTGATATCTGAGCCCAGGCAGATTAAAGTCACATCGGTCATTTTGCAGAAGCATTTGCTTTGCAGACAATTCTCTCATTTGTTCAGCATTCTCTCTCTTGCTTGTCTTTAGCTCCTGCTTCTGGCCCGGCTTTTTCCTTGATTTTATCTCTGGGTTTTCTTTGCACTACTTTTCCAACATAGTCCTATTTGTCTCCCTTGCTTCTTTTGTTTTCTTTTTTACACTAACACTCTTTGAATTGTTTCTACCCACTCGTGCTTGTAAACTTCATTCTGTATCACTCGCAAGTTTCTTTAACATTACTTTGAGTCAACCTTAGATCTTTAATTAAGATGTCAAAGACAACTGGACTAGCAAAGATGCCTGCAGCATCCCAGTAGATGCCCTCTGTATCTGTTGGTTCTGTTTGTCTCTCATATATCATATATATAATTATGCATAGTTTTGAAGCCATTATTCAATTTTCTAGCAATATGATCAGTGCTCTCCAAGCCAATCTGAAGTAATTTGCTGTGATTTCCGTGGAGAGTAACAAATGCTATTTTAAATCAAAACTTATTTTGTTGGTCACTGTGTTCTTTTCGTTCTTTACCTTCACAGCATTTCTATCTTCCTTTGAGGAGCAATCAGGTTTATTAGTATTTACAGTAACGGATGTTCATATATTTGCAACTTCTGCCAACTAAGTAAATGCCCAGCATGTTCCTTTGTACAGCCTTGTAAAAAAGCCATGAGTTGGCATGCATGGAGCTCATTACAAGATCTGAGACTAGATTATTAGAAAGAGTTTTTTAGGGGTAGGTGGTGGTGTTTTGAGTTCTTGGGGTTTTTTGGGGATGGGGGGAGTGTTTGGTAGGTTTTTTGTTTTATTGTTCCTGCCTCTTGGGTCCTCCTTTTTCTGGAGATGATGCAGTCACTCCCCTTTGTTTTTAACACCATATGAATTAGACGTTTTCCTGCTAGGGAGGGGCAGGTTTTCCAGTTCCTGGTGCTACTGGCTGAGTCACTGGCTCTGTTTTTCTGTTCTCTTGTAGGTTTATAATTACCTTGTTCTTACCTTCATTAGAATGTGATTGCCAAAGGGTAGGTGTTTTACCCTCCTGTATTTCTGAGACATGAGTGCCAGTGGCTTTCAGAGCCTGGGTGCAAGCCTTCAGAACATCTGCTCTGCTATTGCCAAAGAAAAAACAAATCAGTGTAGCCCTCAGAGTGCCTCCCTTCCAGCAGTATGGTAACCATTAATGATAGATGTCCAGGCAGAGTGTAATCTCTTGTAACCTGGACTGCTTGAACTAAAGAGGAAATATCAAGAGAATGTGGAGCAGGTGTATACTGAAATGGAAAGGGAGGATTTATTAATGTGTCCTAAGTTCATTTTACCTGATCATACATCTCTGTAAGCTCATTGAAATAAAGCTCATTTGTACCAGACTAGCAGGACTTAGGCAGATCTTTTGGTTTGAAAATCTTGTCAGCTTAAGGTGAAAAAAAAGGAGTAAAAGAGAGGTTTGTGTAAGGAGATTATGTCCAAGCACACTCACTGCTCTTTGAATTATCTTTATGAAATTAATAAAAATATATTTATTTCTCTGCCTCCACTAGTTTGCGAAGGATTTATGTAATCAGAAGAGAATAACTGCAGGTAGAACATGTAAATCTCTGCTTCTATCCATCCAGTATGCAAACTGAAAAACAGAGTATCAGCATCTTTTTCCACTGCTTTTGGTCACAGGTTTTATTTGTAAGGACATGCTTTAAAAACTGGAGCAGAGTCTGTGGTTGGCTGTGTCCCTTTAAGAATCTAGTTTTGCTTGGCTAGCTGCCCTTGTTCTCCTGTAGATTAATCCAGCAGAAGGTATATAACCTGTTGACCTTCCTGGCAAGAAGGGTCTGGAAGGGCAAAGAGATAAATCAGAAGGTTCATACTTTCCTATAATATCTGGGGACAGGTTTGTTTTTCAGTTTTTGACATTTCTTTTTTTATTTTATTATTTTTTAACTGATTCCTGCTTGAGGTTTGGGGTTGTAATTATAGATTCTCATGATTTTAATTTGCTTTCTGTGAAATCGTTCTGTGTTCAGCAAGTTGGAGATGATTGCAGGTTTATGCCACATTTAGAGAGAGGAAAGAGTTCTGAACTCAAAATTACACTGGTCTGAGTTGAGGATGGCTTTACTGTGTCATGTATCAAACTGGTA